CGGCCTGTCTCCGACGATCTCCAGATCCGCCGTAGTTACACCTCTTACGATGCCTACATCAAGCACCAGCTCAGAAAAACCTTAAACCCGAAGCTCCGGAAGGTGTGGACGACGCGCGATTGGGAAAGAAAGGTTCGCGTCTTCTCCGCCTTCTTCACCTCCCTGAGCGAACGTGGCCTTCTCTCCAACGACTCCAAGGCGCTCTCGATCGGCGCGCGTGTCGGCCAGGAAGTGGCGGCGCTGAGGCTGATCGGCGTCCAAGACTCCGTGGGGATAGATCTGGTCCCGAGTCCGCCTCTCGTTGTCGAAGGTGACTTCCACGCGCAGCCATTTGATGCCGAGACTTTCGATTTCGAGTTCTCCAATGTCTTCGATCACGCGCTTTACCCGGACAAGTTCGTTAGAGAGATCGAACGGACGTTGAAGCCCGGAGGAGTGTGCGTCTTACACGTGTCGGTGTCTGGAAAAACGGATAAGTACTCGGCCAACGATCTGCATAGTGTGAAGCCGTTGGTGAAACTCTTTAAGAGATCCAAAGTTGTAAATGTGAGGAAGATCGATGGCTTTGGGCTCGATACGGAGATTGTTTTAAGGAAGAATAAAGTTTCGTAAAGTTAGGTCTTTTTTACTCTATGATGAGAGTGCTCGTGTCTTTGATTTTGTGTCTTTTTGTTCATTCGATGATCGTAAAGTTGATTAATTGTACCAACTTTTGTTAGATTTTTCAGTTTCCTGATGTGATTTTGTTTCTAATTTGGTGAATTTTTCATCTGATGGTTAATTCTTTCAAGCCCAGAAAAACAAAAAATGGAGAATTTTGAATCTTTGATCGGTTCCAGTATTAGGGTTTTGATGTTAGGATTGAAATCTTCTGACTTTAGTTGTTTTCCTGATAGGGTTTAGTGATCTTTCTCGATATTGATGAGCTTCTATGTTTATCTCTCTTGCTTCCCATGGAGATTCTGCATTTAGTTGTTTGGTTCTGTAATTTTGGTTAAGCACTTCAGGTGTTACTTGGAGATGTTGGTGCTGGAAAATCGAGTCTTGTGTTACGTTTTGTCAAAGATCAGTTTGTTGAATTCCAGGTTAGTGACAGTTTCTCCGATGATCTTCCTTGCCTTGTTGTTTTATTAACATTTATGTGTGTGGTTTCTTGACTTTGATATTGTTTTGTGTTATAGGAATCAACCATAGGTGCAGCTTTTTTCTCCCAAACATTAGCTGTGAACGATGCCACTGTGAAGTTCGAGATTTGGGATACTGCGGGTCAGGAACGATACCATAGTTTGGCTCCAATGTATTACAGGGGTGCAGCTGCTGCAGTCATTGTCTTTGATGTTACGAATCAGGTACAGAGTCGCTAACCCGTACTTGCCAGTGGGTGCAATTCAGTAACCTTTTAAATGGTTTTCTATTAAGTTAAGTTTGTTTGTTTCTTCAGGCATCGTTTGAGAGGGCAAAGAAATGGGTTCAGGAACTGCAAGCACAAGGTATTGTCTAGCTAAGTTGCGGTTTGTTTATGACTACCGTTACTGGTACTGTCAAGATTTATTTGCTGGCTTGTGGAATTTACTATTTGGATATATTTGTGTGAATAGGTAACCCAAATATGGTCATGGCCCTTGCTGGAAACAAATCTGATTTATTAGATGCAAGGAAGGTGACTGCAGAGGTAAGCAAATCCTATTTTGTCCTGATTGGTTTTTCTCGTTGTGACGGTTGATAGGGACCAAACCATTCGGTGATATCTCTTATGCCAAAAGCTTCTAAAGTCTAGAGATAGTCTCATTTCTCAGACTGACCCTTATGAAGTTTCTGTTAGAACCATTAACGATAGCGATATGTGTTATAGTTGAATCATTAGCAACTTGCAAGGATCAAGGAAAAGCAAGCTCTATTTTCCAAATGATCAAACATCTGATCCGTTATGTGTTAGATAGTACCTGATACATATGCATCTCTATTGAAGTTATGATTAGCTCACTGTCAAATTGGGGTTTTCAACCACATTAAGGATATGTTCTAACACTTCTGGTATCTGTGGAGTTTAGTGTCATTCCCGAAATATTCCCCTACAGCTTTATTCTTCGCTTCTAAATTTTGCTACTAAGCCTGGTTCATGATATCTGACACTCTTGAACAGTCTTTTCTTCATGGAAAATTCAGCAAAAACCGCAGCTAATGTCAAAGAAATCTTTTATGAAATCGGTAAGTTATGGTTACATTTAGAGAATCAATTCAAAAAGTTTTTGCTTCTAGTATTAAACACTGTTATACCCTTTTCTTTTGATCGGTACAGCAAAGAGGCTACCGCGAGTACAGCCAACAGAAAATCCATCAGGAATGGTTCTACCGGACAGGGCCGTGGATAGGGCAGTGAGTGCATCTTGTTGTGCTTAGTTATATGTAATGACACACACACTTCCCTTACAGAGACCTTTTGGTCAGTCACTATGGAGTTATGAACTTCTATGTTTGCATTTCTTTACTTTTTTTTGCTTGTGGACATTTAATCAAAGCATTGAAAGAAAAAAAAAATTGTAAATGAAGATATCTCCTCTCTTTTGTAATTAAAATCTATAGTAACTAAGTGCGTAAGGGACTTGGAGTTGGATCCAATCGTCTAAAGTCTAAACACAGATTTTCAGATTTTGAAGTGAAACATGCTAATTTAGTAATTTTATATAAAGGCAAACATGATCAATTTGTGACCAAAAGAGTGCTTTTGTTAACTGTCAAAACCCTTAACTTCACTGGAACACCATCTGATGCAACACAAGATCTTGAGTAGTATAACTCATAAGTAATTATATAGATGATGCCAGTACAGAGCAAAATTTCAACCATGGAGGATCAAAGAAGAGACTTATCACACCATAGTCAATAATACAAAACTATAATAGAGGGATGGCTTATTCAGCTATACTCTCAAACTTCATTCTGCTTTCATCAACAACTTTCGAGCTTTTCCTTTTCTTTCGATTATCGTTTTCTTGGTCCATATACTTTGCAGCAGAACGTTTCCGGATCGCTTCCATGCTATTTTCATCATTGGCCCACTCAAGCACCTACAAAGAAGGTAAATAGAGAGTTGAGAATAGACTGAAGGATGTCAAATGAACATGCTTGAGAGAGACAAGAGTGCAACAATAAGACTTACCAAATGGCGCCCGTAGAAATGGGTGCTTGACAATGCATTTTTCGCGTTTGCAGCTTCTTGCTTTGTCACAAATTCAACAAAAGCAAAACCTGCTGATTGTCCAATATTCCTCTTTGGAAGCCTAAGACTCTTGATCTGCATAAACAAGAAAAACAAATATGGTTTCATGTTCCTGAAATTCTTTATCCAAAAGAATCTGGTTTGCACACAACTTCTATTTTGTTCCAATACAACAGAACTAATGTATCATCCCCTTGCTTGTATGTGTACTAACGAAACGAATCTTAACCCGAAACACGCATAAGACCAAAACTTCAGCAATTGCGCACAGTTATCCAAGAATGAGTGGCATAAGTATTCATCCTTGGAGAAGAGCTTACCTGTCCAAATGGACTGAAAAGTTGTCTTAGTTCCTTCTGGGTTGCCTCAAAAGCTACATTTTTCACATGTAACTTTGTCGAAGTTTTGTCCTTGTCTGAACTTTTCCCAACCGTGTCACTACGCTTGTTTTCACAGAATTTTAACTTCAAAGCATGTCCATCCAGTGTAGTTCCCTGGAAAAGAACAGTAAAAGTGTCACTGTACTTCATCAAGTCCAATCAACTTTAAATTTCAAAGAGACTTAACTATTATATACCTGTAGATCTCTGCAGACACTGGTCGCTGTCTCTACAGAGTCGAATTCTACAAAACCATAACCTCTTGAAAGGTTTTTCCCATTCTTTACATGCTTTATTATCTGCTTATAATGAAAAAAGGGATATTAAAATAGACTCATGACTAAGTGCACATCATTGGTCAGCAAATGAACAAGAACTTACCTTGACACTCAGAATCTTTCCCTGCTTCACCAGTTTAGTCAAATGCTTCTTCAAACCCTCGTCAGTTGTCTTGAAGCTCAGATTCGTAACATGAAGGACATTTGACTGAAATATAATGCATTTTTTTTAAAGGAAATGTTACGAACAGACCAATTCAATACATATGTAACTTTTTTTGTCTACAAAATGGATCAGAAAACAGATATCTCAACCAATGAATAGATATTATTGAGTACCTAACTCAAAACTTACAAGATAGTACTAAAACCGTAAATAGCCCCACAAGATAAGACCAAAATCAATCATAACTGGACATACCTCAGTTATATCCGGATCAATTTGAACCTGCTGCTCCAAGTTGATTCTTCTCGCATCATTTTCTCCAACATCACTCTTCTTTTCATTGTTATCGGGAAGTGTTTTCAGCTCGAGAATATTTCCAGGAGCCCACTCCAGATACAGGGGAGCATCTCTGTAATAATAGGGAAATGTGAGGAAGCAATCTGGTTTAACCAGCAGGATTTTAGACAGTTAAACAAAAACCAA